TATATATATATATATATATATATATATATATATATATATATATTATATATATATATTATATATATATATATTATACATATATATATATTATATATATATATATATTATATATATATATTATACATTATATATATATATATATTATATATATTATATATATATATCATATATTATATACATATATTATATACATATATATTATATATACATATATATTATATATACATATATATTATATATACATATATATTATATATACATATATATTATATATACATATATACATATATACATATATACATATATACATATTATATATACATATTATATATACATATATACATATACATATTATATATACATATTATATATACATATATACATATATACATATACATATATACATATATACATATATACATATATACATATATACATATATATATATATATATATATATATATATATATATATATATATATATATATACACATATACAACCACACACATGTATACACACACATACACACTTACAGTGCCAAGGCCCAATTCTCTGCAGAGAAGTGCAGCCTACAACAGATCTAGCTACTTCAAGTGCACTCCCGAGAGGAAAAATCATTGCTCAGGTGAGGGGGAAAATACCGTCACGTTCTACATAGTTTAATGTTGGCAGAAAGGGAAGTAGAGGGGTTAGAAGAGAAAGGGGAAGCGGAAGAGAGAGGAAGGGTGAAAGAGAGGAGAGGTGGAAGAAAGAGTGAGAAAGAGGAGAGGTGGAAGAAAGAGTGAGAAAGAGGAGAGGTGGAAGACAGAGTGAAAGAGAGATGAAAAGTGGGAGAGAGAGGGAAGGTAGTGGGACAGAAGCGAGGAAAGGTGGGAGAGAGGGGAAAGTTAGAGGAGAAGAGAGGGGAAGAAAATAGAGGAGAAAAAAAGAAGAGAGGGGAGATGGAAAAGAAAGAGGGAAGAGAAAAGATGAGAAGTGAAGAAAGAAGGAGAGAAAAAAAACAAGGAAAGAACCAAGAAACAGGATAACAGAGGGAACATGGGAGGGAATATACCTTCACACTAATACTGTACTGCATAACCTTGCGTGGTAACACTGCATGCGGAGCAAAATGGGTTGTGTTTTCACCGTGGTAACAATGTGCTCATTACGGAAAAAACGATGCCCGACTTCAAACTGAGAGAAACAATTATTTCTTGTATCTCACTTCTACTAATCTACTTCTTTATCTGTCTATTTCTCTGGTCAATATTTAGAGGAGGATTAACTAGCATTAAGAAGAGGTTAAAATAAGGAAGAAGAGGAAGAATGGAAAGGAGGAGGAATGATAGTACTAGTACTAGTAAGAGTAGGAGGAGGAGGAGGAAGAGGAGGAAAATAATTAGAACAAGAACAAGGAGAATAATATGAATGAGAATAAAATCGTTGATGATGATGGAGTGGATGAGGAGAGTGAATGATAATAACATGAAAAAGAATAAATAAAAAAAAGTAAAAGAAATAGAAAAAAAAATCACAGCCATATCAAAACATGGATGAAAAAATAAACATATATTTAACTTATTTAACTAACTGATATAGTTATTCCTTCCATAAATAAATTAATTAATTCAGTAGGCACCTCCCGAGATTTTTGTCCTTTTTGCTAGTATAAGGCGGCCAGTCGGTCACACACTCCTTTTCTCTCTCTTTTTCTCACCCTCCTTCCTCTCTCTCTCTCTCTCTCCCTCTCCCCCCCCCCTCTCTCTCGCACGCACAAGCATGAGCGCACAGACATATAAAGCACCTGCATCGCGTGGGGCGCCTATCACAGTAGCACCCCTCCCCCCTCCTCCCCCTCCTCCTCCCCCCTTTCCTGTGCTTTGGATAGGGGAGGTCGGGGCAGGGGAAGGGAGTGGCTGGTATGGGCACGGGGTAGAGGTACGGGGTTATAGGGTACGTGGGGGTAGGAGTACTATGGGTATAGTGGGGAGATAAGGGTATGGGGAGGGGAAGAGTGGGGAGAAGTAAGAAAGGGAAGGAAGAGAAGGGAGGAGAGGGGAAGGGAAGGGAGGGGAGAGAGGGGAGGAGAGGGGAAGGGAAGGGAAGGGAAGGGAGGGGAAAGGAAGGGAGGGAAGGGAAGGGAGGAGAGGAAGGGAAGGAAGGGAAGAAGGGAAGGAGGGAAAGGAAGGGAGGGAAAGGAAAGGAAGGGAAGGGAAGGGAAGGGAAGGGAATGGAAGGGAAGGGAAGGGAGGGGAGAGGAAGTGTCGGTAACGTGGCGCGCGATCAAACACCGGATATACTAGAATATCGTAACCCATTTCAAAGCTACCCAGGCGCGCTGAAGCTGCTCTGGGCTTCCCGCTGAGGCTCCTGCGCGAACTCGCTCCGTGAACTTTGCAGGAGTGGTGCGCGCGTAGCTTCGTTGCTTCTAGGATTTTTGAACTTTAGATTTTGAGCATTTGCATTCCTTTGCACTGGATATATTTCTCTAGAGATTTATCATCTTGATCTATATATACATGGACCTATTCATTCATCTTCGTATACATATGTGTATGTATTTATGCGTTGCGTATGTATGCATTGCGTGTGCACGTGCGTGTGCACGTGCGTATGCTTATGCGTATGCGTGTGCGCGTGTGTATGCTTATGCGTATGCGTGTGTGTATGCGTATGCGTGTGTGTATGCGTGTGTGTATGCGTATGTGTGTGCGTGTGTGTATGCTTCTGCGTATGCGTGTGTGTATGCGTATGCGTGTGCGTAAATGTATGCAAATATAGATATAAACATACATGTATGCATGAGTGAACGGTTGAATATCTTTATCAGCCTATCTACTTACATATTCATCTACCGCCTACCCATTTACCTATCATCCCCCAGCACCGAGTTGACAGTGCTCTCAAAACTACCCTTGACGCTCTGCCCTCGCCCTGGCATTATCACGGTAATGTTGACAACACTGAGGCTGCAATGTTGACCCTCAGCAACATCGTATGTCCGCAATATCGCAATTTCTGAGAAGCTCCTTATATATCGCATGACCCTGTTTTTACGCCATGTTGACCTGCCTTTGCGTCACGTTGACCTGCCTTTGCGTCACGTTGACCTGCCTTTGCGTCACGTTGACCTGCCTTTGCGTCACGTTGACCTGCCTTTGCGTCACGTTGACCTGCCTTTGCGTCACGTTGACCTGCCTTTGCGTCACGTTGACCTGCCTTTGCGTCACGTTGACCTGCCTTTGCGTCACGTTGACCTGCCTTTGCGTCACGTTGACCTGCCTTTGCGTCACGTTGACCTGCCTTTGCGTCACGTTGACCTGCCTTTGCGTCACGTTGACCTGCCTTTGCGTCACGTTGACCTGTCTTTGCGTCACGTTGACCTGTCTTTGCGTCACGTTGACCTGTCTTTGCGTCACGTTGACCTGTCTTTGCGTCACGTTGACCTGTCTTTGCGTCACGTTGACCTGTCTTTGCGTCACGTTGACCTGTCTTTGCGTCACGTTGACCTGTCTTTGCGTCACGTTGACCTGTCTTTGCGTCACGTTGACCTGTCTTTGCGTCACGTTGACCTGCCTTTGCGTCACGTTGACCTGCCTTTGCGTCACGTTGACCTGCCTTTGCGTCACGTTGACCTGCCTTTGCGTCACGTTGACCTGCCTTTGCGTCACGTTGACCTGCCTTTGCGTCACGTTGACCTGCCTTTGCGTCACGTTGACCTGCCTTTGCGTCACGTTGACCTGCCTTTGCGTCACGTTGACCTGCCTTTGCGTCACGTTGACCTGCCTTTGCGTCACGTTGACCTGCCTTTGCGTCACGTTGACCTGCCTTTGCGTCACGTTGACCTGCCTTTGCGTCACGTTGACCTGCCTTTGCGTCACGTTGACCTGCCTTTGCGTCACGTTGACCTGCCTTTGCGTCACGTTGACCTGTCCTTTGCGTCACGTTGACCTGTCCTTTGCGTCACGTTGACCTGTCTTTGCGTCACATTGACCTGTCTTTGCGTTACATTGACCTGTCTTTGCGTCACGTTGACCTGTCTTTGCGTCACGTTGACCTGTCTTTGCGTCACGTTGGCCTGTCTTTGCGTCACGTTGGCCTGTCTTTGCGTCACGTTGGCCTGTCTTTGCGTCACGTTGGCCTGTCTTTGCGTCACGTTGGCCTGTCTTTGCGTCACGTTGGCCTGTCTTTGCGTCACGTTGGCCTGTCTTTGCGTCACGTTGGCCTGCCTTTGTGTCACGTTAGCCTGTCTTTGCGTCACGCTGACCTTTGTGTCACGTTGGCCTGTCTTTGCGTCACGTTGACCTGTCATTGCATTATGCCGACCTGTCATTACACCGTGTTGACTCGTCTCTTCACAGGTAACCTACGCTATCAATGATGTCACTTCTTCTTACCAATGGAAAATATGTTTCAAGTCCGAACACCTGTAGAACATTTTTTTTTTCCTAACCTTGATTATGCAATTTATATCGACGACCGCCTCCGTTTTCCTTACGTTTCTCTGTTCGTGTTCTTATGACATTGTGTCTACGACAATCCCCTTTTAATGCAATGTTCGATCGCTTCTCAAAACAATTTTTTTTCATAAAGTAATAACAAGAAAAATTAGATATGACAAATAAATGACACATTCCGCAAATACACACGTGCACATTACACCTTCGTACCAATATGGACCGCTTTTAATACGCATTCTGTCTCAGGTTTACAGTCCCTCCCTTTTACACAAGAAAATGATGCAGCTTAACAGAAAATGTGGCACGCTGACAACACCAGAAATCTTTCCTTACCCCTCTTTTCCCCTCGGTGATTAATAAATATATTTTACGTGTACAATCCAGCTTATTAAGTCAAATGACGTATAGATGGTGTCTGTTGGTAATTCGTACATATAGCGTTGAGGAGGAAATACATAACACCCATACATAATCACCATAACACTACAACCCCATTTTTTCCCCTCAATACATATATATAAAACGTGTGAAAAAAGAATCATAGTCCTTGTACTCACCTCCCGTCAAGACCAATTTGTACACCATCTTGTTCAAAGGGTGATGTCCATTCATCGTGGAGTGAGCCATTGCAAAAAAAACCGCCACTGGAAGCAGAGGGTTTCTTTTCTTCTTGTCTCTCTTTTATCTCTCTTTCTGACGTTTACTAGCAGACGTCCATGGTATGACTGGTGTAAGGAAGGCGAGGAAGTCCCCCTCTCTGTCCCGCTGCATCGCCTTCCATGTTAGTGAATTGTTGTACAGTGAAGAGAGATTCTGGCGGACTGATTGTACATTTTTTTTTCTGTCGTTATGGTTATCTGGGGTGATTTGAAGGTTTGCATTTAGGTTGGTTGGAATTTCTGAGTTTGAATTGGGATCAATTTAGATGCATTGGGGATAATTAGTCTGCGGTAAAGACAGTGTTTATTGGCTCATCGGTCATGTGTAAAGATAATAGTCATGAAACTACAAATCCTCATTATTCAAAATATCACTATTATTAATAAATGTCATTAGTTATGATGTTTATGTAACATATAACGCATATTTGAAAATACTTTGCCTGAATGTATAACCAAAGCGGAAATTATCGTACAAAGTTACTGCTTCATACCAGTTGCAGACGACAAAGAAGCGGCTGCTAAAATCTCAAATATTTCTAGATTTACGCATTTAACAACATTGAAATGCCAAAGAGAATGTCATATAGAGGCTTTTATATCACACAGCATCATCCATTGTCGATGAGATGCTAATAACATCATTTAATTTAAGTTGAAATAAATACCTCAGCCTCAATATCATTGCAAAGCTAATACGTCACTTTGACATATCTAACTAACAAATAATTTTAAGATATTGAATTTTATTGCGGATATTCGACAACATGCTACAGTTATTTTAGTGATAATTATTTAATCTCAATTTACGTGAAAAAAGAACCGCCGTCTAATTTATTTTCGGTTGACTGACATCATTGCCAATTTAGCGAGGGATACGCTAAACTTAGCGCCTTCATCTCTTAACCAACTCTCTTTTTTTCTATTATATATCATGAACACAATTTTAATCTCATTTGAAGATAGTTCGAAGATGATTTCATGCACGCTCTTCTTTTTCCTTTCTTGTAGACAAGATGAAACAAGTGAGAAATACAGAAATAGATTTTCAAAGATTAGCGCGGCTCAGGCTGACGTTCAACAAGTATCAGCAGTGAATCTTCGCTCATAGTAATCGCTGTTGTTTTCCGCAATATTCTTTATTTCTTTATTATATGTATTGTATGAAAGATTGCAAAATCTTATTTTTGATGATAATCAACTAAATCATAACCTGAGAATGTTATAATGACATTACGGAAAACAAGCTTGACCGTTAATACTCGAAAAGATATGGACAGATGACCGGAAAAAGAATACATGGAAAACCACTCTTTTGTACAAACACTAAAAAAATATTTATCCATCTTATCAGAAAAAAAAACAACTTAGCACATTTTTAGCAACTTCAGTCATCTAATCTAGCGTTCTTTCCCCCGTTATACTGATTCATGTTAATCACCCAACTTGGCATCAATAACATAAAAAAAATGCCCAGCCACAAATAACAAAAATAATCCTATCACAAATAACAAAAATAAATCAGCCAAACGAACACCAACGATCCAAACCACCGCTTTTCCGCAGCCATTGGCAACACTGTTAACCAGCGCTTTTCCGCCGCCGCTGGCAACACTGTTTACGCGCCATCTTACCGTAAACAAACCGTTCGAGTTCGTTTTTGAGGCTCGTTTTTTCGGTCTCGTTTTTCCAGCCTTTCCCCTCGGCTCGTGGGGCGGAATATGGTGTCCTTCCCCTCTTCCTGTTGGGCCTGATAGCAACGCGAGGAAGAAAAACGGGGGACGATGAAGGCCATTCTGAAATACATCGAAGTGGAGAACTTCAAGTCGTACCGAGGCTTCTACCACATCGGGCCCTTGAAGCCTTTCACGGCGGTCATCGGCCCCAATGGCTCCGGTGGGTGGCTTCCGGGGGGTTTCGAGGGGTTTTGGGCGTCGGGGAGGGAGGAGAGGAAGAAAGCAGGGTATGGTTTGGGGATACGGGAGTCATGTCACTTCGCCTGACATTTCTTGCCTGTCCTGTCATGTCCAGTGTTACCCGGCCAATTTTTGTTTATTTTGGTCTAAATTGGATAGTTGAATTAGATCTCGTGATGATTGTGTTGCAGCTGTTGATGCGGCCGATGTCTTTTGATGTGAATTTTCTACATGTTCTTTCCTGTTGCTTTTCATCCCATGAAATTTATCAAAACTGGGTTAAAGTAAAGGACGTCAACACATACTACATTTGAAATGAAAATGATACATACTCATTCCATAATTCACAACATGAAAGCTAAATTAAGTCTCCAGAATTCATATTTATATAACACGCTGCCAACAAGTCTTTCGAAGCGGCTCATGATGCCCACTGGTCAAAGTACGCACCGGCCTGGGAAACGCGCAGATGGGCAGAGGGCAGAACCCCTTGGTGAGGGAGGTATTTGTTCACATAGCCATCTCTGTGGTAGTTTGTACCTTTGCGAGGGGTTCACGTGTTTGTCAGTTCGAGTTGGGAATTTGGTCTCGACAGTGGTCCTGGTGTAAAGATTTACTTCAAATATTCCCTGTTTGACTTTCTTTGAATCTCTTTGTGCAGCGTGTTGTAAAAAAAACATTAAATTTAAGAGTGACAGACTCCTTTCAGTGTCTGCTTTATGACCATCTTAGTATGAAACAGGTGTTTATGGAGTGAAATTTTTGTATTTAGTTCATATCTGTCATCACCTTCCCATAATTCAAGGCTGCTTTTGGCCATTAATACTGTCACAAGATGCTTAAGGGTAAAATTAGGTTAGCACAAAATATACTATACAGGGGGCCAGATCCCCCCCCCCCTTATAGATAGGAATGATTATGGACTTTATGAGATTATTCGGCATGTAAAGCTAAAATTGGACAGTTCCCCAGTAGAAGTGTTCGACCAATTTTTTTGGCCTGGCCTAAATGGGTTAACAAAGCCATAGAAAGTTAATATTTAAACCAAATGGAAAAAATCTCATAGGTACAACTGCATACTGGACCTTTTGGAGAGATGTTTCACACATGTGCCCTTCATATCAGTGTGATCTATATATAGACTGGTATCCTTTTTCATTTTCTTGAGTTTCTTATAGATATATGAATTCTTAGAGATCACACGTTTATCTAAAAAAAAAAAATGGTCATGGATGTTGCCGTCCTAGCTGATGTTCCAGTATAATTTTCCTGGCATTCTTGATTGGTGTAGTCTTAAGAAATTTCATGTTTTTTTTCTTCTTGTGGTATACAAGGTGTAATATTTTGACAAAAGTTTTTAATACACAAAACCAGAATACCCATTTTCATTACTTTCAGTTCCAGTCATAACTCACACCTGTTTGTACTATACTTTTGCCACCTTTTATAAATCTTGGAAATAATAATAATGATGATGACGATTTAAAAAAAAAAAAAACTTAAATTTTTCATCATGTTGCTGTTGTGACTTCCATAACTTCCTTCAGAAAATGTCTTAGATTTTTCTAAGAGAATTTTCACATATTTAGTATTTCCACCAGATAATGATTATAACTAGGGCTCTTGGGAGAGGGATTGATATGGACTTTACTAAATGCTGGGCATGTGATTTATTCTTATTATTGGCATAATGCCATTAATGTCAATTGAGACTTCAACAAAGCCAACATATATTCACTAAATAATTTCCTAGAAGCCTCCCTCGAAATTTGTAATGAATTGGGTATTCATATATGTTTTATGATATACTTTGTGTGTGTGTATATATATATATATATATATATATATAGAGAGAGAGAGAGAGAAAATAATACTTAATCTCTCTTGATCTATTTGCAACAAAAGAAACAGGCACTTGATTCTAATATGTCACACCCCTCTCAGGGAAATCCAACTTCATGGATGCCATCTCTTTCGTCATGGGAGAGAAGACATCCAGCCTGCGTGTGAAGCGTCTAAGTGACCTCATCCATGGCGCCTCGATTGGACAGCCCATATCAAGGACAGCTCACGTGACGGCCGTCTTCACTCTCGAAAGCGGTGAGGAGAAGAGGTTCACACGTCTGGTACAAGGCTCATCGTCAGACCATAAGATCAATGGAAATGTAGGTGGTCGGAATTTAATTTCTGTTATATTATTATTATTGTTATTATTATTATTTATTGTAGTTCTGTTGTTTACTCATATGTATTTACAAAGGAAGTAGTTTTATTTTTGTTGCTTAACTATGATATTCTCTGTTTTATAAATCTATCAAATTCATCATTATCCTCAGGTGGTCAGCAGCCAGACCTATCTCAAGGAGTTGGAATCTCTAGGCATCAATGTGAAGGGCAAGAACTTCCTTGTCTTCCAGGGTGCCGTGGAATCCATTGCCATGAAGAACCCAAAGGAAAGAACCGTGCTGTTTGAAGAGATTAGTGGGTAGGTTCAAAATAATTAAAAAAAAAAAGTGGATGACTGAATTTTTAGTTATTGACATTTTAGGTCCACGTTTGTACTAGTTTTATTTTGCTCATATGTTCCAAGAATGAGTAAAAACATTGTTGTCACAGACTTTGTTTCATGTAACTCATAAACATATAAGTAGTTTAAAGGTAGAAATACATAGAAATCATTAAAGCATCAGGTTTATTGCCAGAGAGCATCACACTAAGCATGGTTTCCTTCTGATAGATCTGGAGCACTGAAAGAGGAGTACGACCGGCTCAAGACAGAGATGTTGAAGGCAGAAGAGGATACACAGTTCACATACCAGAAGAAGAAGGGCATTGCAGCTGAACGTAAAGAGGCCAAACAAGAGAAGGAAGAGGCGGAGAGATATCAGCGCCTGAAGGATGAACTGGTTTGTTGCTTGGAGTTGTTCTGTTAGTTGATGCCATACTTATAGCTTCTGCAATATGTTTGTATAGTTATTTGACTTTATTGTTCAGAAGTCAGTTGTAATTAATTTGATTTTGTAGTGGGGTTTAAATTTTGATGGGAAGGTGTTAGAAGAAAATAGAAATTTTACATATAATGTTGTTTCTTGAAGTAATCTTGAATAACCTTGTAATTATGAAATGTATATGTGGATGTTCTTGTTGTTGTGATTCTTGATTTATCTATGTGATAGTGTTATTAGTCATTTATTTTAGGGTGAAAAACAAGTAGAAATGCAGTTGTTTAGGCTGTACCACAATGAAAAGGAGATTGCAGAATTTGACAAAGATATTAAGAGGAAGCAAGCAGACCTGGAGAAAGTGGAAAAGAAGAAGGAAAAAGCTGAGGAGATCTTGAAGGAAAAGAAGAAAGAACATACTCGAGTGTCGAGGGAAATGTCCAAGATGGAGCAGGATATTAGAGAATTGGTAAGGAGTTTAATTTCTTGTATGACTTTATGTAAGATCCATTATGTACTTACTTGACATCTATCGTTTATTAAAGTAATACTATTCACAATACTGTTAAGAAGATAAATATTAAAAGATAATGTCTCACAGGAAGCAGAGGTCAACAAGAAGCGGCCAACCTTCATCAAGGCCAAGGAGAGAGTCACTCACATGCAGAAGAAGGCCGACTCTGCCCGCAAATCTCTCGCACAGGCCATCAAAGCCCACAATGCCCACATGGATGACATCAGGGAACTGGAGGGCGAACTTCAGGAGGTTGAGAAGAAAAGGGGCGAGTTTGAGGAACAAGTCTCGCAGGATTCAGAAAACCAGGGTGAGAGACTGTTGGTGATTTTGGGTGTTTTATTACTGGTCTTTTATATTTGTCTATAATTTCTGTTTCATTTTAATTTCTTTTGCTGTTAACCCAATGGCGCCGGGTGTACAAAAGAAAAAAAAAACTCTACGCTTAAACAAACAAAGGCGGCGCGCCGACTTTGAGCGCGTGAGTAGGGGACATCAGCCCGAATCACTGGCTCGCCGCGCTTTGGCGCGCCGCCGGCTCGTTCGGCTGCATGCCAGCTTTCGAGCTCTTTGTTTACACGCCGATCGGCGTCACCCGGCACGAAGGGGTTAAGATTGTGCAGAATGTCTTTTTTTTTTCTTCCTTTTTTTTCTTGTCTGTTAGCTATTTCTTTGTCTTTGGTTTCTCAAGTTATTTTTTGGGACAGCCCTGGAGAATTATAGTCAGTGTGTTCTATGATCTGGCAATAATTGGAAATATAATAATAATAATAATAATAATATTAATAATATTAATAATATTAATAATAATAAGTATGATTAATTGTCTACCTTGGCACCAGTAATGGTCATAGCTAAGCCTGCAGTACTGATAATGGTAATAACAATCAACAGGAAAAAGTGTTCAGCTGGAGGAGGTGCAAATCAAAGAGTACCACAGACTGAAGAACATGGCTGCTCGTAAGTCTGCCCAGTACCTTCAAGAGCTTGATTCAATCAACCGCGAACAGAAGTCAGACCAGGACAGGCTAGACAATGCCCAGAGACGAACCTCAGAGATTGAGAGTCGCCTCAGACAGAAAGGTCACGAGCTGGAGGAGGCACAGAAGCGTGTGGAGAAGTTGATGGAACATATCAGACAATCTGAAACCTCATTAGAAGACCAGAAGAGACTAAGACAGGCAAGATTGTTTTCCTTTGTTTTTCTTGTTTTGCATCATTATATATATATATATATATATATATATATATATATATATATATATATATATATATATATATATATATATATATATATATATACTTGTAATATTACTTGTATTTATGTTTATATATATAAAAGATTTTACAGGTTTTACACTGTTTATCATCCAAGCTCATGCATCATTATGTATGAAGATTGAACTTACAAGCATACTCATCTTACAGGAGTTGGTATCAGATGTAGGTTATAGCAAAGAACGTATAACTCAGCTACAAGAACAGCTGGAGAATGTGACTGAGCAGCTTGGTGATGCACGTGTTGACAAACATGAAGATGGACGCAGAAAGAAGAAACAGGAGATCGTGGAGAACTTCAAGCAGCTCTACTCTGGGGTGTATGACAGAATGATCAACATGTGTCAGCCCATTCACAAAAGGTAAGGTTTGCTAATATGGGTGAAAAGTGCTTTTTTAGGTTTTATAAATAATTTTGTCAGGTAAAGGACATTTGGTTTCTCATAGTCCATTATATGTCTTGATAACTTTTGATTATAACTTTTTCAAGTCTTCTTTTGAAATCAGAAGTTATCACAATTCAGTGATATAAATCTTGACACTATAATAATATTATTTTCTAAGAGAAAGTAGAATGATCTATATCAAACTGACTTGATTCTCATTTTATAGGTACAATGTTGCCATTACAAAAGTCTTGGGTAAATACATGGAGGCCATTGTTGTGGACACTGAGAAGACAGCCCGTCAGTGTGTCCAGTACCTCAAAGATCAGATGTTGGATCCGGAGACCTTCCTACCCTTGGACTACATTCAGGCCAAGCCCCTTAAAGAGAGACTGAGGAACATCAAGGAACCAAGGAATGTAAAACTTCTGTACGATGTGTTGCAGTACGATCCACCTGAGATCAAGAGGGCTGTGCTTTTTGCTACAAACAATGCCCTGGTGTGTGAGACCCCAGAGGATGCCTCCAAAGTGGCCTATGACCTGGAGGATGGTCATAGATACGATGCTGTTGCACTTGATGGTACCTTCTTCTCCAAGTCTGGTATCATTTCCGGAGGTAGTTTGGATCTTGCCCGAAAGGCCAAGAGATGGGATGAAAAGCACCTCTCTAACCTCAAAGCCTCGAAGGAGAAGCTGTCCGAAGAGCTCCGGGAAGCCATGAAGAAATCAAGGAAGGAGTCGGAGCTTAACACGGTTGAGTCACAGATTCGTGGCATTGAGACAAGGCTCAAATATTCTAAGACAGACAAAGACTCAACAGAGAAGCAGATAGCTGGGCTGCAGAAGGAGCTGGACAAGCTGAAAGCAGAACTCAACACCTTTGAGCCCCAGTTACGGGAGATTGAGAAGGTCATGGGTGAGCGGGAAGCCACCATGAGTGATGTCAAGGAAAAGATGAACACAGTGGAAGACGTGGTGTTTGCCGACTTCTGCAAGTCCATTGGAGTCACTAACATCCGTCAGTATGAGGAGCGCGAGTTGCAAGCTCAAACAGATAGGGCAAACCGTCGCTTAGAGTTTGAAAAGCAGAAGAATAGAATATTGAATCAACTTGAGTTTGAAAAGTCACGTGACACTCAGAGCAATGTAGCTCGATGGGAAAGATCAGTACAGGATGATGAGGATGCTCTGGAACAGGCCAAGCAAGCAGAACAGAAACAGGTAAGATACATATTTGTTAGATTTGTATTAACTTCAATACAGGATTATCTGCAAGAGATTCATGTTCCCTTTAGTCCAACTGCTGCTATGAATCTTGACTTGTTAATGTTTTTTTTATTGCATTTTTTTGCAAGACCTTTTCTCCTTAATATATGTATTTTCCCCTTCCTGTAGCATTTTTGTATCTTCTCTCTTTTCTCTACAGATTATATTCTGTCAAACCTAAGCCCTACTATACCTTTTTCCATGCTCCTCTTTTCTTTCTTTTCATCTTGCCTACTTTTATTCTCTCTCTCCCTTCCCCCCTCCCTCTCTCGCTCCCTTCTCTCTCTCCCTTCTCTCTCTCCCTCTCTCTTTCCCCATTCTCCTTCATGCTCCACTAAATGTGAAATACATTCTTTTCCAGATGGGTGAGATAGACAAGAGCATGAGAGACCTGGAGAAGAAAAGATCAGAGAAACTTGCCAAGAAATCAGAGTGTGATGAAATGGATGATGAAATTGGCAAGGCACGAAGGGAAGTGGGCACCATTGCCAAAGACATCCAGAGCGTGCAGAAGCAGATCAATTCGATCGATCACAAAATGGAACAAAAGAAGGGGGAGAGGTGGGTCTTTTGTACAAGGTTGAGGAGATTGGAATGAGAGATAGTTCAGTTAGTTTATTGTATGGATTAGTATTCTTTCAAGTTGTTTGAGGGATTTTGAACTTTTTTTCCTTCAGTGATTATTAGAGGTAGTTGCAGCCTCCACATTATAATGATATTTCCCATAATATAGTGAATATTCAAATGATAAACAAAAGGGAATATGAAATAATGTATGTATGAATTTTAATTGTTTTTTATATTAATTAAATATTAATATGTCCACAGACACTCCATCCTCAAACAATGCAAAATGGATGACATCTTGGTTCCGATGACTCGAGGCAACATGGAAGACATAGAAAATGAGGGCCGGGAAGCAGGAGAATCTACGCTAGAGTATTCTTCAGGCCTCAACACACAGGTCAGCAATTGTGATAGTTTTTCATTTTTATTTTCAATTTATGTTCATGCACTTATTCAGTGATTTTTAATTTTTTTAAGCCACTTTTTCTTTTTCTTTTTTCTTGCTAGTGTCATATATCTTTTACTTTTGATTAAAAAGTTATAACCTTTCAGTATTCTCTCTTTCATAATTGTGATTAGTAATAATTTGTAAATTTGTATTTGCTGAAAGAAATATTTCCCTACCATTATTTAGAATAACACTGTAAAATCCAATTCCCCCTGATACATTAAAACAGGTGATGTATGAGAAAGAGTCTAGAATTGTCTTGGACTACACATCCCTAAGCGAAACACACAAGGAACTCGACGACATTGATGATGTGCACAAGGCTGAGAAGCGCATGCAGAAGCATATCAATGACCTCATGAACACCATTCAGAGAATTCAGGTGAGACTGTCAAGTGTGTTCAACAAAGATGCATTAAAGGAGATTGTTTGTCATTGCAATTATGGTTGGAATTTTAGTTGTTCTTGCAGTTGACTTGTGTCTTCTCCGATTATTAGTAAATCTTATTGGATATGATGGTAAATTTTGGTTTGAAGGTGATTTCATATGCCTATAGGTGATAAAGAAAAATTGGTGTTTAGGTGGGCAGATATAAATTATAACCTGTAAATATTTTACTTTAACCTTCTATTTTACTTTATTTAGGCCCCCAATATGAAGGCAATGCAGAAGCTTGACTTGGCAAGAGAGAAACTCCAGGAAACGAATGAGGAGTTTGACAGCGCACGCAAACGGGCAAAGAAAGCCAAGCAGGCCTTTGAAAGAGTAAAGAAGGAGCGTTATGACAAATTCATGGCATTCTTTGAGCATGTCTCGAATGAGATTGACGGCATTTATAAGGTAAGGTTGATTAATATACCCTTTTGTTAGGTTAGTGTGTGAAATATTGAGGGTGAATTAGTGATCCTTTAATTTCAGTAAATACTTTAGGCCCTAGAAATTCCTTCCTTCCTTTCTTTCTTCTTTTTTAAGATTATTTCACTTATTTCCATAACTTGGAATTGATACTCCTTTGCCAACTTAGGAAATCCCTTGCACCTTTTGTGTATGCAAATCTTGATAAAAAAAAATACACATGATAATGCTACCCCTAAATCCCACCAGGCTCTGGCCAAGAACGCCTCTGCTCAAGCCTTCCTCGGCCCAGAGAATCCAGAGGAACCCTACTTAGACGGCATCAACTACAACTGTGTGGCACCCGGTAAACGTTTCCAGCCCATGTCCAACTTGTCTGGTGGAGAGAAGACCATTGCTGCTCTGGCTCTTCTCTTTGGTATCCATAGGTAAGTGTAGTTGTTGTGTGAGTGGTGTTATGTGTGAGTGAGTGTTTGAGGTGCAGTTTCTTAAGTGGTGTACCATATTGTGGTGTTAGCTCTAGTTATGATAGTCTAAATGATACATTTAGGTGTGGTCCCCAGTAATGTAAATGTTAGATTAAAGTGTGATGTTGGAAGTAAAAGATGTAGTATTATAACTAGTAGATTGACGGAAGGTAGTTTAGTTTATTTGAGGAGATTTATAGTTTTACTATATGAATTATCATTTTTTGTTATTATTTTATTCATGATAATATCCCTCATCACTGATTCAGAAAGGATATTATTAGTTATCTGTTTTATTTTATTTTATTTATTTATTTATTTATTTATTTATTTATTTATATATGTGTGTGTGTGTGTGTGTGTGTGTGTGTGTGTTGTGTGTGTGTGTGTGTGTGTGTGTGTGTGTGTGTGTGTGTATATATATATATATATATATATATATATATATATATATATATATATATATATATATATATATATATATATATATTATATTATATTTATATATATATATATCATTCTTGCCATGATGTATCAAGTTCAAGTACCAGGTGGCAAGTATGTATGCCATGCTCATTCCAGTACATTCTATATATTGTCCATTAAACACTGGCTCACTTGTTTGGCACTGATAGCTTTCAGAAGATGTACAGCACACTTCCCCATGCTTTTAATTTTTCACTCAAGGGGCTGACAGTACATGGTGCCAGGTATATGGCTTGCTATGGTGTAGATAGAAACCATAGCCATTGGTTTAAAATTCAAGTCCATTAAACATAAACTTTTGTTCCCAGTTACCAACCTGCTCCCTTCTTCGTGCTTGATGAGATTGACGCAGCCCTGGACAACACCAACATTGGCAAGGTTGCATCATACATTGTGGACATGAAATCACATCTTCAGACCATTGTCATCTCACTGAAGGAAGAGTTCTACCAGAATGCAGATGCTCTTGTTGGAATTTGTCCAGATGTAAGTTCGTTCTGATTATAAGGCGGTCCCTGATCATAATGATTTTATATTTCAGTCTAATAATCAAGATTCTTAGTCTTGAGAGAGGATAGAAAGGGGATTAGATAAGTACTTTTCAGAAGAAATCTAGTTTAGAATTGCATACATAAGTTAAAATAACTCTAGGAAAGGCATTACAGTACCCAGTGAGGTCACTGATGTTAATATAAATTCATTCTGAGTTCAAATAAATCAATATCCCCGTATTTCTCACTTTGCAGCCGGGCGAGTGTCTGATCAGCAAAGTATTGACCCTAGACCTGGAGAGATACCCCTTGCAAAGAAGTGAGGAGCCAGATCCTTTCGGTGTCAAGGTATGTGATTTGCTTTATGCACACCGAAAGCTCCCCTGATGAAGTCCGTGCCAGAAGGAAGTGAGAGTGATTTCCAACCTCTCTCCCTACCCCTACCTGGTAAAGGGTCCCTGTTATCTCCACCCCCAAATCCATACCCCAATTCATAAGGGGTCTCTGGCATTATGTGGATATTGTTATTATTATTGACATTATTATTGTTATTCCTGCTTCTAGTATTATTGTTTACTTATCTTTTATGTTGTTGTCATTATCATTGTTGTTATTATTAGTGCAGTTGTCATCAGCATCATTGCTGTTATTTTGCAATTATTATTTTTTTGATGAGTATTATATTACAAAATTTATGCTTCCTTTTTATTATCTTTATTTTGTCTCTTGTGTGAGTGTCAAATAGCAATACCATATGATCTGAGTGTTTGGAGATAACCAAATTAATATTTTTGATCTATATTTTCTCTCTCTCTATCTATCTATCTCTCTCTCTTTCTCTTTCTCTTTCTCTTTTTTTAGTTGTAAAAATGTTAATAACAGAAATGATATCAAGATTTTTGTAAATTATTTACATTTGTCATAGCATTATATTTTTTCTGAACTATTGTTTTTATTTTTTATTTTTTATTATTATTTTTTTCCCCCTTTTCTTTTGCTTGTTTATATTTATTTATTTATTTATTTATTTATTTATTTATTTATTTATTTATTTATTTATTTATTTATTTATTTATTTATTTATTTATATATATATATATATATATATATATATATATATATATATATATATATATATATATATATATATATATATATATATAATTTATATAATTTATATTTCTTTATATTATATTATATATTATATTATATATGTTGCATGTATATAATGTATACACACACTAATTATTTATCCTTTTCCCTTTTATTTTAGATCTGGCAGAGGTAGACAGCAAAAATGGTTCCAAAGAATGTTTTTTTATCCACTGAATAAACAGCAAGCAGAAGGCTAAAAAGAGAAAAAAAAAATCATCTTTTCTTCCTTCCTTCCCTCCTTCCTTCCTTCCTTCCTTCCTTTCATCTCAAGAATTGAATGTAATACACAATTGGTGATACTGTCTCTCTGAAAATTGCCTGATGCCTCACTGGCCAAAAAAAATGTTCTCGCAGACTGCCCATTCCCACACCTTGAGTCGGCTGTAGGTGGAAAGGTGTCGCAAATTGGAAATTAGTTTGATTTATTTCAATCTTTTTTTCTTTGAAACTTGCAAACAAAGGAGTTTGAACACTTGAAAGCCATTTGTAATCTTGTGAGTAAAGAGTATGTTACAAGTATGAGGTGGGATATTTTTATTATACCGAGAGAACCATATCTGTAGATCCCCCTTTGTATAGGTCTTTAAGAGTATGTAACATCAAGAACTATCTGTTTACTTTTGTATATAAGCAAAAAATTTAAATGATGAACCTATGGAAGTAAATATTTAGTTTTGTATATTCTAATTTTTTTGGTATTTGTTTGTCTCTGGATAAACGTGTTTTAATTTTGAGTTTTCCATCTTTTTAGAAATAATTTCCATTGTTGGATGATATATACCAACTGATGCTTAATGATAGTGCTACTTACTAGTGTTTCAGCCCATTTTTTTGAGTCCATATATATTTATTTACGCATTTACAGTTTTATTTATTTATAGTAAAACAAAATAGGATATGAAAAGTAATGAATCTGAAAGGTCAAACATGGATATGGTATTTATAGAGCTCTGCATAAGTAATGCTGTTTATTCTTTTAAGAAGTTGGTATTGGTCTGGTAGTCTGTGCAGATTGCAGTACAATCTTCATTGTTGATTTCAACACCTGATGACTGTTATTAAGTTAATTATGTATACCAGTCAGATAATATTGCGGCCACAGGTGAGCATCACAATTTAAACACAGCAGCAAAATTATTTTGTATGATCATTTATCTTTTATATGTGTGTGTATATATAGTTATATACATACACACATGCATATATATTTACATATATACATATATGTATAATTTTAGTTGAAAGAAAGAAAAATTAAATTTATCAGATTTACTGTTGGAGCAGAATGAAAAATTACAGTAGTACTTTGGAGATGATTAGGTCAGATTACCATAGCAGTTTTTATTTTTATAATGTTTAAGTGGAAACTTGTATAGGAGAAAGATGCAGATTTTATTTTATTTTCAGTTCCCTTGAGTTTCAGTACAAAGAAACTTTAGCAACAGAATTTTTGTCCTTGTGAGTAAATAAAAGAATATTCTGTATTGCCTTTTTTATTTACCCCAACTGATCCCCCTCAGTCATATACTCGTTGTTGTGTATTTGTGTGTGTGTGTGGGGGGGGGATGTCCAGTGTTGGTGATCTCCCCTACATTGGGCCTCAGCCCTCAGCTCAACAAATTTTGCAAGGTCTTTATTTCTCCCCCTTTCCTTTTCCCTCTCTTCTCCAATCCCTTCTGTCCACTTCCCAAGACATGTTGTGAGAGCTGTGTAAAAAGGAAAAAGGCAGGCTTTAGGCCAGTCCTGAAAGAGTGTGGCCTTCCCATTTAGTTATCTAGCCCTTACTCCTCATGGGGACCCTGAGGAGTAGACCATTTCTCTTGTCTACATATTCCAGGCTTACAGTAGGGGCACTGAGGCTTGCCCCTTTATCAAATGGCCCCAAAGACATCAACTTTTCTGACTCCCAGATCTCTGGCTCTACTTTGATCAGTGTGACTAATTCCCCCTCCTCAGTTACCTGCTGTCTGTTCAGTCCAAGTCACCTACCAGGTCATTTTCCAACATTCAGAAAACTTACCTTGCTTTCCCAACATCCTTCACTCCATCTCATCTTCCACAGTCTTCCTCATTTTCAGTTCCCTCCTCCCCTATTACTACTATCCATCCTTATTGCCTATCTCACTCAACATCACTCCCTCTTCCTCCCATCCTTAAGCTTTGACTACTTCCACTTCTACAAATCCTTTAAATACTCATTTCAGCTCAGCAGAGTGGGATAATTTTTGTGATTTTGCATACAGCCCTTTAGTCTGACAGTACCCTTCTATTCTAACAATGTCTCTAAAAACGAGTTGTCAAAATTTCCTTCCACAGCCATTCCACAGTCAAAAACTCATGCATATCATGTCTTGTCTCATTGGCAAACCATTTCCTTACTCTCTTAAGTAGACCATCACCTTTTTTGCTTTTTGAGGTAATTACACTTTCTGCAACTTTTGGCTTTCAATAAAACAAAATATCCTAAAGCTCATCCTAAGATTTTTTAGGAGGTTTTAACAATTATTACCAAAAAAAGGATTTTTTTGTGTTATGGAAATAAAATCATAGCTTGGTTATAAATTGTTATAATATAATGAGTAAGGGCTCATTGGAAAGCTTAAAAGATTTCCCATCAAATGATGTCCTCATTTAGAGGTGTTTTAAATCCATTTTTTTTTCTTATATGTTTAACCATTTCACCCAAGAGTATTAGATTTGGATAACATTTGCTTAATATATAACTTCTATGCTGCACTAAGCACAAGCCACCCCACACACACAAATTGATGTTATAAGGATTTAACCATAAAAAAACATTTTGTCAAACTCTGTTTTTGGTGTAATATAGTTGTAGTCAATGTTTAACTGCATTTTTCTCAAAACGACATTCTTACATTTATAAACAAGTTTCCTGCTACAGTTTCTTTTAACAAATTAGATATATCATATATTGTAGAGGAAATATGTGGCACACCTGATCTGCAATTATTCTATTTTGCTGTGGGTTGTACAAAAACTGCATTTTTTTTCTCTCAAAAACTTTGCAAACTAATATTTTTAGTATATAAAAAAAAAAAGTTTTACCTCATCACATGTTGATTCTGGTCTTAAAAAAAATAAAAAATAAAATAAAAAAAATATATATATACATATATATATATATATATATATATATATATACATATATATATATATATATATATATATATATATTATATATATATATATATATATATATATATATATATATATATATATATATATATATATATATATATATATATATATATATATATATATATATATACTGTATGACTTTTGACAGTACACATTTGATCATCAACATACTCCCCTCTTTACCCTTTTCACTACTGCACCTTCCTATAGTGCTATATGACGTTTGATATCTGGCACATTTATATTGCTTTGTAACCATTAACCATTAACTGTTAACCCAATTTACTATCTGTAATAGAATCCAGCCAATTTACTTAAGAGAAGTTAGATTTATAAAGGATATTATAGAATACTTCTCTTCTAGACTGCAATCTCAGAACCTTTCAAACTATGCTTTTGTAATATTTAATATGACTAATAACACATAGCATTCCCTCTCCCTGTTGTTATAAAGAATAGATAAGTAAATGAAATTAAAGTAGCAGAGTTAACTAATACATTAGGTTTAGGTTAATGTTCTAAAGAAGACACAGGAAAGATAAGTAAGATGACATATGTAAACATGACTGCTTACAAAACAACAAGAATTACATGTCCCAATTTTCCCTCAGGCAATGCCTCAGGGCATGTGACTTGTGGACATGAGGGTACCTTATAAAGAAGGGCATAAGATATGCATACATACAACCCTGGATGGAGGAGACCTGTTGCTGATTGATTGACCTGTCATGATTAGCTAGAGATGGGCTGAGGGCCTGCCTGGCAGCTTGCCATGAGACCCTACAAGGGTCTCATGGCAGCTATGCTTCCCTGTTGGTGTTAGCTCCCCAATAAGGATGATACATCATGGTAACATGACAGGAATGCTCTGTCCTCCTTAGTTGCAACCAAGTTAGGACATCATCTGGTGCTATGAACAAATAATCAATGATGTGAACTACGCATCATCCAGAGGCACTGGCTTGATACTAAAAAATGTGATTAAAAAGCTCAAATTATAATTGGCTTTCCTATTTTTGTTGAAAGATGAGTAATGGTCTATCTGGCAAGGCTGCATCGTGTTTGATAATTCAGAATGAATATGGCTCATAGTTATCAATGATTACTTTTCTCTTGCACCATTAACCAAGTGAATACCAGCATATGATAAAGGAAAGTGCAAAATATAGTCAGTTTTTGTAATTTTATGGAAACAAGGTTGGTGAACTTTATCAGAGGGTAGGAAGTGAATGAAGCATATATAGTTGCAAATCTTTTAGCAAGAAAATTGCCTTGGTTCTAACACTGCTTTTGCTTTAATTTTGCAATGAACATGTTATTCTTCATAACCCTTTATTTTTTAAGCTATACTTTATTACTGAAATAATTTGAAAAAAAAATATAGTGGTGTTGACATTTTTCAGCTACCCTTGTAATCATATTTGCTCTCAATATATAATATCTTTCATATTTTTCCATTTACATTCCAGAATGTAGAGATTTGTATGACAAAAATAAATGCAGAGTGAAATGCATTAAAGTATCCATTTCTTGTGCAGTAAATGTTATAATGAGATATCAGCATAAGGGTTATCTACTGTGCTAATGAAAGGAGGATTGGCCTCCTATATCAGATTGAATAGGTTACAGTAGATCAGTAGATAACACACTAGTTGGTGTTCTATAGGAATTCTAATGGGAACAAACTTTGCAATGTGAAATTCTTGGTCTATTGGAGGGGTCCACAAATTTTATAGACCACTGACTTCTGAAATCCTTGATCCCTCATCAACCATCAGGCATATAAGATTAAAGTAATAAATCAGAATAAGTGATATTTTTCTTTATGTTAAGGTACGTATTCCTTTGCTCTTTCCCTTCATTATAGTTTCTCAATAAGAGTCATTTCACCTTCGTTTTATTCCTACTTATAGTTTCAATATTTTTTCCATACTGGAAACATACTTGTGAATGATGATTTTTATTAGTTTTTATTTCATTATTTTATTTTCCTTTTTAATTGTCCCCTTGGATGGTTCCACTGAAAAGAACCACTTTGGAGACTGATCTGTAATAATGAGGACTGAATGATAACTTTTTGGGAGAGGGGGAAGGTGAGCTAAATAAGTGTAAAGGAAAAGGAAGGACCTGGCTCAGAATCTCAGTCCCCTATAGAAATATCAATGTAACCCTTATTTATGATGACAGAAAAATATTTTGGTGGTAGGTTGTAGAAGTTGTGTTTATGTTAGGGGTGGAGTACCCGTGGCTGATTTTGGTAGTTATTCAACATAAGGGCCAAAATCCTTAGTCGTCATCTGAAACTGTCACCCTAACATCCATACACCTGAACAACCAGCTCTCTGCCTAGAGGACCTGGCATCTCCAGGTCTGTCCTCTTTGAGGTCCAGCTACAGGCACCAGTGAGTAAAGCTGGTAGCTTTTGTTCAGTAATAGCCTCTCAGATCTGTCAGTGTATATAATTAATCAAAACACTATAATATTATTAAAGTGGTGGAATATAATTGTGTTTCCTTACCTAGTCCACCATAGGCATGTTCATTACAGGTGACAGTAACAAAGCTGAAAAATAGACAGTGAGAGATAAAATATCACCAGAGGAATGCCGAAGTACATTTACTTGAATAAGGAACTACTCCATATAATTTGACTAATTAACTCTATGATATGTTATGCAAAAGGAGCAGTTACAAATCTTGATAATTTGAAAGCTCATTTGCGAGTTATGTTTGTTTTGTAATTTATTTCACTTGACTAATAATCAGTATTATTTATCTCATTAAGAAAGTCTTAAAAACTGACCTAGTTGCAGAAAACACAAAGGAAAAAAGCAGTGGGTTTATGATCCAGACTTTTTAAAAAATTATGTTTGACCTCAAACTTTTGCACTGTAGGTAATGATAATAGCAATATAGAAGTTCCTAAAAAAAATTTGTCCCATGCCTTACCCAATTGAAACCCTAAGAAGGAAAATGCAAGAATGAAGAAGAAAAAAAAAGAACAAGAATTAGTTGACTTCATTATATCTTCACTAAAATGTGTAGGTTCTGAAGCACCTATGCCACATTGAAAGATAAGTCCTTTTAACTGTTTATTGCAACTTCATTTATCTATGCAGGTCCTAAAATTTCATTAGAAAAGTATCCATAACTTTCTAAAAGTAAAATTACTTTCATATGATCTTATAGCATGTGTTACTTGTATACTGCATATCAATTCTTTCTTTTATGTACCAAAATTGTATCTTAACATTTCTGAAAGCAAATCTTAGTTAATAGCAGATCTGTTTTCTTGCAACTAGTGATAATGATTCCCAAATTGAGGA